ATATTACAACAATGTCCGAACAATTTTCACACCCAATATAATTGAATTGCTAATTATGTAAACGAAATATAGATCTGATTTTATTGATTCATTTTCTAATGATAAATCTTGTTAATAATAATGTGAGCATAGAAAATCGAATAATAAGTGTTTCGAATGTTGATAATTCACACATTCATTTTGGCAAACAGACAAAGTTGCGAAACAGAGAAGATGAATATGCCTACTCAAAATACTACTTATTACAAGTATTAATATAACTCATACCAATGTCAAGAAGGAGACAGGCAATGGATGTGATAATAAGTGGATCGAATATATGTCCTCTATTTTGTGTGGTTTTATTTGATTAAGTAATTGTCGTTCATAAATCTTCGATTGCTCAATTTTTTTTGGATCAAATTTGACTTGGTTGTATGCAAATTATGACTTTTTATTTCTGGCTGAATAATCATGATGCATAATTTTGTAAGAGTTTGAGTAATAATAATAATAAAAATACATCAGTTTGCTGTCTTCTATTCTAACTAACCAATAAGGATAAAAGGAGATGTGCGAACTAATAAACACTAGGATATCCTGTCAATGTTGGTAGTCATTTGATTAACTGATTGGTTAGGTTAGTCTACAGTGAAATCGTCATTAGTATACCCTGTAATCCTATAATCCAATTAAATGGTCAAACAGAAAGTAGAATTCATAATTAACACCAGATTTAATAACTCAGTAACATATATCATTTGATTACGACTTATAACTGATCATGGAATTATATATATTGTTCAACTGATTAATCTATCGAGTAATCATATACAAGGGGCTATATCACTGGATTCGTTCTGAATTACAACAGCAGTTCATTGAGAAATCTTATGAAATACATTTTTAAAAATATGAAAACAGTCAGATATATTCTTTCTATGCTATACGTAAAAATTTGCCCTATAACTCTATTTCGCATCCCTGTCTAATCTGATCATAAACAGCAAAGTCTTCCAGTGCATCGACAACTTATCTCACCTTTGAAAGTATCCATCAACTTGCATACGAGATATCTATGTTGCAATGAAAGGTTGAGTAAACTGCTCAGAACTTCGATTTGTATTACTGTATGGTTGTGAAAAGGACTATGAAAGTTGAAGAAATGTGCAAGTTTCAGTATAAATTTTAAAGAATTAGTGAATCCACTGGTTGGTTAAGCTAGAGTATGCGTTACACACTGCCAACCACCGAAATGAAAGATGCTTAGAGGTGATCGAACTAAAAGGTAGTATCAGTCTATAAAATCGTTGACTATTAGTTTGAGTCCTCATTGAACACATAGAATTTGTGGCTGAGTACTGTAAGTGGTACAGCTTATAATCAGCATCAGTAGTGAAAATAAATCTGTTTGATAAATTTATCTAATCTGATTATTTCTATAAGCAAAGTAACTGGAATACACTTAATTGTTTATTCAGTGATATAATTAATGATGATTTCTTAAACTGGAAATGGTTAATCAGAGAGCAATATATATATATATATATATATATATATATATATATATATATATTCCAGTCACCATACTGTGAATATTTCACAGAAGAACTATCAGTTAAAAAACTTTATAACCTAGAAACTAAGTCCAATTAGATTAGAAATATCATAGACACAGATCTAACTAGACAAATTGTAAATTCTTTGTTTGAATAAAATAATTAACATATAGATGACAAAATCAGTTCTTCAGCTGATTACACACTAGCATTAAACAATATGATGACGTAATTGATTACTATTAACTACAGCTTCTTATTCTCAGCTTTGAGATAGATTTTTTGTGGATTTAGTGGTAACACTGAGCTATCTTAACTGAAATAGATATTGCGAAGTTGGAGCCTGTGAACTTACGGTCGAGAATCGAGTGCAGCGGAATCACACTATACTGATGACTTTGGGCGATTTAGGGATGAACCAATCGGGATTCAGGAGAGCAAAGTGAATAACTTGCTACCCAAAAATCAGAAAAATTGTATACTTTCAATATGAATAATAAACTTATTAATGTTACAAGTAGGCTCATAGGTATTCAAGTCAAAGTGGGTCCGACACAAAAACTCGATCAAATGATTACAGCTCATCTTAATCTTAGAACCTGTAAGAAACCGAAGATAGTTTCCTAGCACATTGGCCTTGTCTTGAATGACATCGGATACGTTAAAAGAGTAAACACAGTTTCAGAAACAATCTGTCTTAGAAGTAGGTGTTTTTTGAGATCTACGTTTCATGACAAGTATATTCACTGTGAAGTTCCATAACACATGTGTTTATCAGTTTTAAACATGGTAAGAACTAAATAAAGGCAATTTTTACTCAGCGTTTAGTGAACACTATAGAGGTGCTCTCGTAAGTACGATTGGTTCGTCAGTAAAGTTTAGTTTAACTCAAATTGTTTTAACCAACAAAGGCAATATCTCCCTGAAGATGATCTTACTGATGAGTGAGAAATTAGTCTTTTAGATGGAAGGGGGCATCTTAATCGATGTCAGTGAATAGAAATCTTAGCAATGTACACACACAGTGAAATAGAATCAATCACTTTGTATCTTGATTCACTGTCGTATCACAACAATTGCACAATGCCACTTCATCATCATTTGCAGAGGGAAAAATAAATGAAAACACAAAGAATTCTAGTCTGAAAACATCTTTTTTTAAATTTTTCATCTTCTTCTGCATAAAAAAATAAATTTCCACTAAAAATAAATAAACACTAATTATTCTGAATAATAATAATGTCGTCAAAACAAAAAAAATAAGTAAGTCATAAAGAGAAATCAACTGAAAAAAACACATACAAGTAAATAAGAAAGACTGAAAGCAGGTAGAAAGGCATTGGCCATGTATAAAAGACAATAATTACTGTTGTTATCATTACTACTATTAATAGTAGTATTGTGGATATTATCGCCAAACGAAAAAACAAACCATCACATTCATGGCAAGATACACTGAAGCCAAAAGTTAGTCAGTGGAAATAAAAATACCCACACAGAACAGAAGTATAAAGGTCAATTAATCTCTACATGTAAAGTATGAATGAGTAAGACAGCCGTGAAGGGTAATTAGGTAGACAGAAGAACCATGAAATTTTTGTAAGTTTATTGAATAAAAAGCTTCTCTAATAAAAAAAAAGGTGAATAGCATAAGGGTAATTAGTAAATACAAGATTGATTGATCGACACAGATTGAAAATAAGAAAACCAACAACTACAACAACAAGTGGAGAACTTAGGAAAAAATGTAACTGTGATTGGGGTGGGGGTGGGGCAATAAAAAAAATGTATCATCTATGCACGCGTCATTATCATCTGATTGATTAAGAGTTGTTTTAGTTTCTGGTATGAGGATCCAATGGTTTTTACATATAGATAATATATACACGCAGCTACACAAATCAAACACTATTTCACAATCATTAAAATAAACAAAGTTGATAATTGTAACAGTAGAATTATTATTATTATTATCACCAATAATAATAACAATAATAATAACCATGAGTTTTATGGATAGACAGGGCCATGGGAGAGAGAGGAAAATGCTGCTCTGACTGAGGATTTATATTTATATATATATATATCTAACTATTTTTACTGAAAGACACAACTAATAAAAAAAAACTGGAAGAAAAAATTTTTTTAAAAAAAAAGATTACTCTGTTTGTTTCTTCCTAATTTTTGCTGAGCAATAATAAGAGAAAACACAACTAACACACAAATAAGCAAACAGGTAAGCAAATCAATAAATCAATAAATAAACAGACAATAACACATTTGAATGCATCGATTATGAAGGAAGAAGTAAACAAACAACAAACAAAATCAATTGATTATTTTCTGTGTGTGTGTGTGTCACATAAGATCAATTTTATTATTATATCAATCACACTGATCATAAACAACAACATGACCAAGTAACAATATAAACGATCAATTACATAAATTTATAAATAGATGAATAAATAAAATAATCTGCATATTCATTCTTCTTTTATCTGTTCAACAAATTAATAAAATAATTACATGATGAAGGCGAAACAAAGAAACAAAACTCGACTATTCATTTGAAATTGTAGTAATAATAGTTGTTATGATTATTTTTTGATTGAATATTTGGAAATTCACACACTGTGTTTTTAATCAAAAAATACAGATTATACAAGTTATAATAATAATGATAATAACAATGGGAAAATATTTTAATTGTTGTTATCGTAATAATTATTTGTTGCCAAGGCAGCTAGCTACTAGCTAGCTAGTTAGCTCTAACTTTATTGAAATTATTGATAGGAGGAAGAGAAAGAGATTTCACAACTTGGAAATCAATGTAGTGTAGTTTGGGCAAAAAGAAAATATATATCTATATCCACATACAACATATGTATAGGTGTATCTGTATTATAAAACAAAATAATCCAATAATAATAATAATAATAATAATAATAATCTTATTTTCACAATTATTATAATACAAGAAAGACAAAAGAAAGAATAATCATGAGAAAAAGAAATCAATCAGTGAGAAAAGAAAGAAAGACAATCATATCACATCACATCACATCACACATTATGATGATGATGGAAATGTGTGTGGGGGGGTCTCTCTATATATAAAATAAGACACACAAATTATAACATAGGACGGACTATTATCATCACTCATTATAAAGGAACATGACAAAATGAAATTTTTGATTCTTCTTATTATTAAATTCAGTGGTTTATTGATATTTTCTCTAGAAAAAAAATAGCCACAAAAAAAATCCCGATAATTGAATGAATGGTTCTTTGTTGTCTTTATTACAAAATAAGAAAAGAGAGACATGGAGGAATAAAAACAAAGAGATACACACAGAGAGACAGAGAGAGGATAAGGTGTTGGATGTAGGAACAACAAAGGCTATAGTTGAACTTGGCATAAATAAATATATAAATATTACATAATTATTCTGTAATTTAAATATTTATATCTAAAAAACGATATTGATTACGTTGACCACGAATACGTTCTAATTTCCCAGAGACATAATACAATCTATATATATTTTTAATACAAGGAGAAATAAAAACAGAGAAAGAGAAAAATAGAGACAATAAGTTAATATAAAGAAATTTAACTACGATTATATTCAATGTGTTTTATTTTTTAAATGTTCAAAATGTGTGTGTATTTTTGTTCAATTCATTCTATTCATTCTTTACGAAACACAGTTATTTAGTTCACGTATCTAGAGTTATCTATGACTGTCTGTTGTTATAAATAAATCAGTGTAGCGCAAACTCATATGCTAGAAAAAAAGGTATCAATAATAAAGAAAAGTTAGGGATTGAAATAAAAAAAATGCGCTTTTTATACGTCAGTTGGTGGTTGAAGACAGTTGATAGAAAACCATAGATGTAAGGTTTTGTGCTACATGGAATTAGTGAGCAACATGCGTGTAACTGTAATGTTCGCGCACAATACCGAAGGTCCCGGGTTCGAATCCTGCGAGGTGCAGGAGTCGTGGATGCGCACTGCTATTGATGAGTCCCATACCAGGAAGAAACGACTGTCCAGTGCTTACAGGTTTCTAATGGTGGTCTAACAACGATGGATTAATGATTTCAAATGTGTAAAAACATAAATCTCCAAAGCTCCAACTGAAAATGTTCAAAGGACTGATGTTCCATGATTGAATTTTACTCATATCATTCAGCCTCACATTTATAGTTGAGCTATTCGAGCGGTGACTAACTTTCTGTAGGACCAATATATTTTTAACTAATAAAACTGTAAAGCATCAGTTTCTGTAGGATTTTCAGGAACATCCTCATAGAGTACAAAATCTAGTTTCAGGGTTTCCTATCGATTACCTCCAACCACTGAATACTAAAATTTAGTACACACGACGTAGAGTCATTCAGACTCATGACTGCATTATAACCTAATTGAGAGAATTCAATCAACACTAAGTGATCACTAATCAATCAATCAATCAATCGGGAATTAAACATAAATATCCAGCACTTACTTAATATAAAAATTGGAAAAATAGCCGAAAATGATAAAAATATTGATAATAATAATAATAATAATAATAATAATAATAATTTAAATCGAAACTGAATTCACTAACAATTTACCTTAAACTACGACTAACAGATTCAAAAGTCATATTGCCATTTTTACGATAATATCCCCATAATTGTGATAATTTTTGTGGATTTCTTATTTGAAATATACGCGCTTGTTTATCAATCCATTGAACACAATTAAGATATTGTGAATTAGGATTAGATAAATGTAATAGAAATTCATCCGGTTGTTGATTCATTGAACAAAATGAATTTGTTGTTATTGTAGGAAATAATGAAGAAATGAATGCAGACACTGTGGATGATGATGGCGTTGATGGTGATGATGATATTAATGAATCCGAAGAATATTGTAGAAGTTTACTAATAAACTGTAACAAATGCAAACGTTTATGAACAGAATTCGATATATTCATTGAATGATTAATGGAATTAGTTCTTGATTGATTTTTATAGATTAGTGAATTCATGTTATTATTATTATTATTGTTATTATTAGTTGGTGCTGTTGTTGTTGCCGTGGTCGTTGGAGGTGTTGATGTTACTGGAAACGAATTAAACGATAATGATCGAATGGATGATAAGTCAGTGTGTTCTTTTCTCAATGAAACAGACTTATACATAAGATTGTTTTCTTTACTTTCTATAGTATTTACAATACCGTCAACATTATTATGATTAGTATGATTGCTATGACTATTGATAGTTGTTGGTGTTGTTGAAGTATTAATATCAGGATTATTATTGTTATTATTATTATTATTATAGAATAACTTTTCACTTTGATTATTTGAAATTGATGGCGATAATTGAAATGTATAAGTTGATAATAAATCATGAATTGGATATTGAACAGTTTGTCCTTGAAATGATGAGATATTTTGATTGGCGGATAAATGTTCTTGTACTACATCATTATTATTAACAGTGGAATAATCATAATGCATTGAAGTTGGTTGTGAATTATAAATTTGTTCAATATGATTATGATTATTATTATTTGAAGAAGATGATTTCTTTGATACACACGAAAGACGACGTTTAGACGGATGATGTAATTGGTGTGGATGTTGTTGATGCTGTTGTTGGTGATAGTGTCGATTGTTATGATACGATTGTTGATGCAATTGACGCGATCGTGTTAATGAATTGGCAGAATTATTATTACTATTAATATTATTATTGTTATTACTCAATACTGTACGATTGTAAACATATTGTTTACGCATAAATTTCATTTGCCATACAGGTCTGCCAGTTTTGAATGATAATAATGAAGAATTAGGCAATTGATTTCGATGATCATTAGTTGAATTCTTGAATAATTTCACTAATGAATTCGACGTGGACACAATAACAGCATCATTATCTGTAGTGGTGATAGAATTATTAACAGAAGCAGCACTACTAGTAGTAGTGGTAGCTGTTGTCACTGTTGTTACAGTTGTATTATTAATGGTTGTAGAGTTATTGAGAGAAGATCCATTATTATTATTATTATTATTATTATTATTATTATTATTATTATTATTATTATTATTATTATTGAAATGATTTTTTATTTGAATTGAATTCATACAATTGTAACATTGTTGTGATTTAAATGAACAACAAGAACTATTCGACGAGGATGAAGAACATTCGATTGGAGATATTGAATTATTATAGCTATTATTATTATTATTACTATTTGAATATGAAGAATTGGATGAATTGAAAAATTCCATTTCTGTAGGACTTGAACACATGGAATTACAATGATTATTAATATACCCAATCGAGGATATAGAAGACGATGATGAACAAGGAAGCATAAGTAATGTATCATATTCATGACATGAAATTGGTGAGTTATCTAGAAAAAATAAGCATGGACAAACAATTAAGCATGGATAATGAAGAAAAACAAGTAAACTATTCTTTATATGTAGAGGAAATGAGATGGTGGTTGAAGTTAGTCAACAGGCAACTCTATTTGGCACGCATCATTTTCCTGTCGACCATTTCCAACTACCATGTCACATCTCAAAATAGTGCATATGATGTCGAGTCGCCTAGATTATAGTGGCCATGTTGTAACCTGATCGGTAGAATTCGACCACCACTAAGTAGGGAGTTGATGTATGTGACATCAGTCACCACTATTCAGTGATCGACCGATCGTATGGATGTAAAGTATATTTATTGCAAAGAAATCTTTAAGTTAAATAATTTGTAGAAACTAGTTTAAGATGAAGTTTGTTCTTATCACATACTAAATATAAACCTAAGAACTATAACAATAATAATAATAATAATAGTGTACATTATAACCGAGAAGACATCAGTTCTTTATTATTTTAAACTAAGCGTTGATATCAAAGTAGTTATTGATGTAAATACACAATCAAAAATAAAATCATTCTACAAAACAACATTATTGATTGAATAAAAACCACAATGAATCTCACAATAAATCGAACAAGTAAACAGTTGTCATTAGTAAACAAAGTATAATAAATACATGATAATAGATAAACAAGAAAAAAAAATAGCAATTTGAAAACATTATCATATCCGTGTTGATAATGACAGTCTTGATATCATTTTCATTGATGAAGCTACAAAAAAACAACAACAACAACAGTCTAACCACTAAATACATTCAGTTTATTTCGTACACGTTCTCTGGAATTGTAATGAGATAAGAAAAAGGATAGTGTGTTTTATTTTGGTTTTGCTAAGAAAATGCAGTTAGTTTAAAAAACGGCTATTATTCTCATATATCCCAAAATTTAATAGACTTTCCAACTATAGCTAATCACAAAGTGATGTCATATTTTCTTTCTTTAATACAAATACCACCTAGAGAAGCACTGATAACTATAATGTACACATATTTTCCGGTTAAAGTTAGGTGTTTTAGCAAGTTTGTTTTCAGCAGGATGGGGTTTCCAAACCTTGTCCTTTATTCAGACTTTCGGCCGACAGTAACCTTAGAAAGGCTGCCTGGGCAGTTTACTTCTGTATACGTGGGCAGCATCACTGGTAAACAAGGGGGGTTGGTGTAGATGTGAAGACACGGATCGGTAAGTCAACGGCTGCATTTCTACGATTGAAGGGCATCCGGAAATAAAAAAAAACTATTAAACAACACCAAGGTCAGAACATTTAATACTAACGTCAAAACGGTTCTATTGTATAAAGTGGAAACTTGGAGAACTACGAAAATTATCGTCAAAAAAGTGAAGGTAATTATAAAACAATTGTCTACGCAAGATACTGAGGTTCTGCTGGCCGGGCATAATCAGTAACAACCTATTGTGGGAGAGAACGAAGCAGATTCCTAATGATGAAGAAATAAGGAAAAGCGCCGAAGATGGATAGGACATACATTGCAAAAATCACTCAAACCCATCATGAGGCAAGTTCTAGCTTAGAATCCTCGAAATCAAATGAAAAGAGGTAGACCAAGGAACACACTAAGCCAAGAATTGGAGGTAGACATGAAAAGAATGAACAGAAATTAGTTAGAACTGGAAAGGAAGGCTCAGGGCTGAATCGATTGAAAAATCCTGGTTAGTGGACTATACTCCATGAAGGGTAACAGGCGTAAGTAAGTAATAGTGTACACACTTTCACAATATCACATGAAATTAGACCTATAATTATCAATCTTGTTATAGAACGCAAGATACCATCTGAAAACCATTTAGGTCAAAATCCAAATATTCACGTTTTTGACTTTCATCGACTAACCATGTAAGGCTGTACTCTTTAATGAGGGCTATTGATACTAACCAGTTGATTAGACTGACTTAAATTGCTAGTTTGGTGACTAAAAAAATCGAGTATTTAAACTACTACATACCGTAATTGCGAACTTGACGCGGTAACTGAGTTCTGCGAATTGTGATACCTCACCCATGTGGCAAAAACTTGTTTCTCGAAGTTATCGTTTGCTAGTCAGGTTAATTGGATAGAGATGATAGTGAGAACAATAAACGTAAGATACAAAGGCAAAATGGTGCTACGGACCTTACTATAGTATCGTGGTAGTGAGGTGTTGCTCATAAAAACCCAGTATGATGCTGCGTTTAATACCAGGAGTAAGAATATGTTGTTCCTCAATAGCACACTTTATGTTACCCTAGGGATTTTCGGTACCCCCCCCCCAGTATGCATTTAAAACCATATAACTGATACATACACTTTATGCGTAACTGGTCTCCAAATATAAACAAGTTCGCACTATTTTGACTAATTTTGAGTTATGTGTAATAGATTATTTTGAACCAGTGATTTCTGATGCATTTCTACAAGAATCTAATCATGAGGTTTACAATTTCAAAATGCACATATTAGATTCCAATCTGTTCATTAAGTTAGTTCGATCACATATATGAAAGATGTGTGTGTGCAGTCAACTTACTTTCGCTTGTCTGCTGTTTTTTATTTATTTCAATGGATAATATTACACACACAAAAATCACAAAAAAAAATGATACAACACAACTGTTGATTATTTGAAACTATTTCTGTCATTGTTAGTTCATTTTTATTTATTGAAATACAATTGTTTTCACGGTATTGATTTCAGAGTGAATCGAATAAGTAACGTCATAATTCGTTGTGTATTGTAAAGCTATGATTTCTCTCTTTATTTAAGAAAAAAAACAATTGTGCCTGACAGTTTTTGAATAGTTTTTCGATGAATGGTCAGTTTAGTCATAATTATACGAAATATAAGTATCACATAATATATATCACATGTAAAATTTAACAAAGAAGATAGTCACTGAATGAAAAAAAAATTAAGTACAATCATGAAGTAGAACGACAAAAGAAAGAAAGGTTATATTAGCCCGTCTACTCTAAACAGTTTGAAAATTTTGATGCAAATCACTTTGAGATTGATAAGTTCTACGAATTATGAGGTATTAAGCTCAGTTAAGTTATTCCCATTACTTAATTGTATTTTATATAAATCTGGTATTATTTAATCGGTGTCTGTATTGTATTATGATCAAGTGAACCAATCAGAAGTGGCCAAATAAGAAGGCTATTCGATGGCCATCAGAAGTGTCCCAAAGGATGAATGCATATCATTGGACAAGAAATAGATTAATTCTCTAAGGGGGTGATATATATATATATATATATATATATATATATATATAGACGATAGCCAAATATACTTTTTCTTCTGCTCTTGCCTTCTCGCTCAAGTAACCAGTTTAAGTGGGGTAAACCCATATCGCAATCAGATCTTGGACATTGTACATCATACCGTATTACATATGTGATAAACGAAAAAAAATGCTACAGATATCAAATAATTCCTAAAACCAAACTATATTTGAAGATAATCAATGTGAAAAATGATTTAATTTGGATATTCCATTTCACTGGTCGACACATGCTTGAATTATTTAAAAATATCAGGAAAAAAAAACATTAGAATCTTTTAATTATCATCATAATTGATAGGGTCACGAAAGCTATATGCACATTTTATTGTATGTTGATGTTTTTAACTTTGAAAGATACCAATTTGTGTTTGCTTTTTTTTAATTTATTGTCAAGTTAGCATGAAGCATGACATTATCTTGTTTATATCATCTTGTTTAATTAAATTATCCAAATGTGAACAAGTAAAAACACATGATTTATATATACATTCTATGAAATGAAGAAGCTAACTAAAAAGACAAGTGCATACACCCAAAATTTAGAGAGAGAGAGAGAGAGAGAGAGAGGAAAATAGCACGTGATTCCTATGATTTTTGGACAAAAGGCATTTTTAAAATATGCATAGGAAGATAAATCTCATTGTTAGTATATAATGAAGCAACAAAGAAAGCATTACAACGATTATAAATTAGGGATTCTTTTTTTAGCACGAGGTATTGTCAGCTGGGAAAGAAACATTGGAAGCAAAAGTAACAATGAAGAATTCAACTTCTCTTTAGTTTGAAATCAATATTTTCGATAGTGTATACATTAGAATACACATGTGATTCAGCCGATGACCTTCAAATCTCTCATAGCAACTGTGATGCCTTTAATTTAAAGAGTTGCAATCGAATGGGTCACAGTTTAAATTCAATCAGTCGATAATATAGCATAATTCTCATTTAGTATCACAAATGAGTAACGAACTCATTTTAGGGTTGTGGAGATTGTTGAGTTTTATTGAAATCATGAGTCAACCAATGTTAGATCACCATTAGAAACCATGCCAACGCTTAACCACGAGATTTATGGTTTTGATGAAACCCAGCGATCCCCATAACCCTCTAATAACAATTACCATGTGCAGACTAGTGACTAGCTTCATGAGGGAATTCTCGGAGTTCTAGCGAGAAGCTATGATGAGTAGAGTTCCACCATGTAAGGTGTGAAACAGTTACTCATTGAAGACAATTGATGGGGTCGTGCAATGTCGTGGATTGATTGAAGTTAGACATTAACAACATTGGATGTAAGCTCACTGTTTGCACGTGAGATCAAAGGTCCTGAATTCGATTCCCACGTGCAAAGTTGTGGATGCGCAATGCTGATGAGTCCCATACTAAAACGAAATGGCCTTCCAGTGCTTCTAGGTTTCTAATGGTGGTCTAACATTTATTGGTAAATGATTTTAATGAATACTGATATAGTTGTTTTCATTAATTATGGGTGTCCACTTGAACTCTATCCATCGCTCTCAAAGGAGCTGAATAAATAAAAAAAGTTAATGTCCCAAAAAACCAAGTATTAGTTGAGTTTTGGTGGGAACACAAACATATTCCAATACAATATAATTCAAAAACTAAGTACAGCTTTGTATACAATGCGAAATACTATACGAAGACTAAAAAGACTATCAACACG